TTTGTGATCCTTCACTGCTGCTATACCTGGTCTAACCGACTTTTGCGTATCAGAATGATGTGTCTAGATATTTCACTTAGTTGTACGTACTGCATAGCAGGAGCCGTGAGATACTATCTTCAAACCGGAGGAAAACGATGTTAAATTGGTATAAAAAAAACATTTGGCTCATGATATCCAGATTCACCGACTGTTGCCACCCAGGATTGCCACTATTCAGTCTCACTGATATTGATACCGAGAACGCTGTCACTGGATGTATGACCTGTTACAGCTTCTTGGTACCATACTCCGTGAGACATAGTCTTCGAACCCAAGAAATGGTAGGACGCTATAGATGATTGCTTCTCTTGGCAACGATAGTCGCACCAGCTTATGATATCAAGTCTGACTGATTGCTTGTATCTTGGGTAGTTGCCACTATATGTACAATTTTAAACGCCGATGCCGCTTCAAGGTAGCACAATCTGTGAGATACAGAGTTGGGAAGTGTAGATAACGATATAAGAGGAAAGGTACGTTTGTTGTAATTTTTTATCGTCGTTATACAAATACGAATGTTTAGGCTTGCCAATTTTGGTAAAGACGTTATATCTGACAGATTTTCAGAAGTTTCACCGACTATAGGATGGACACAGGATGCACTTGGAGGTACAATTCAGTACACTGTGAACATTTGTGTGAGAAGCGAACATACTGTTTGTAGTCAATTTGTTCTTGTGAAACATGCAAAAATAAAGTTTGAGAGATTTTTATGTCTTTTTGTTTGTGGCGTCTTTCTCTTCTGTGACTGGACCGATTTTCAAAAGTCAGCCTTTACGTCCTTGGCATTGTAGCAACATTATCTTAAAATTTCATAAAAAAAAAACGAAAAGTACTTCTCAAGTTATAGGCACTTACAAGATTAGCCGACAGACCGACGGAAATGAACGAAATGGTTTTTCGTGATATACATGTCATATGACTATAATATCCAAAATACATAATGTCTTATTTTAGGTTAGATTGGTTCTTTGCAAGGCGAACGGCAGATATTAATTGAAATAAGTGTAAAGCAGAGAGACCTTTTCGAAAAGTACCGTGTAATTAACCTTTTCGTAGCAAGTACATCTACAGTCTGCATGTTTAATATAGTATAATAGTATACTAATAAAATGATATATCTATAGATGAAATATTTATAGCTGATCCTATTGTGATGGCTTCTTTGATCCTCTGACAACTATAGCATCGGCTTGATTTTTTTTATTTCATATCACATAAAACATCACTATTCCTTTTGATTCAGACGAGCATCTCAATTGTCAAAGAAACTGGTTAAGGTACACAGGAGAACTAGTTTGTGATGCTACGCTGTGTGTTTTGAAAATCGATCCAGTGATGGCGGAGCTTCGGATAATAAACGACAATAACAAAAATCGTTTTTTGAGGATTAAGTGTCTCCTGCTCATTTTCAAAAAAATATTGTGAGCGAGTTATGTTAACGGGTGAAGCGTATTTTTATCTTTTATTGTAAACCATATTCGTCGTCGTGTAGGAGTACTTATAATCCGCATGTGGATGTACGAGTATTCAACGCGATCTAAACCTTCGCAACTCCTTATACCGCCAAGGAGTAAAAGCTTAGCCAATGTTACCCATGGCTCTTTAAAAAATCGTCTATTATGTCATTTTCAAGATTTCAGGTAACTAAAAGAGATAGATAGCGTTGTTGAATAGGATAAATAGAAATATAGAACGTCTATGACAATCTAAGGGAGAGTTCATATAAGCTCTAGCTTCAGAAGATTTACACATGAGGTGAAGTTGAATCAGTCAGTTTAGGAAATATGCTAGGTAAGCACATTTGAGGAAATTCGTCTGCTAAAGTTTTGTTTATTCGCAAAAATAAGAAATTTTTGAGATGATGTAGAAAGTAAAAACTGGTGTTACTGGAAATCGGTTCCTTTTAGGTAGGTACCTTTTGAACGACACTGTATAATAAAACAAAATTTTGACTGTTCACTAAACAATTGGAGTTTGATTTGGTGGTGTTTACGGAAAGCAATTGACTGACTCATGACGCCGCGGGGACGCACTAGCCCCAGTGCGAGATTGCTAACATTTTTTACATACCGTATAACAAAGGACCAAATACTACTTTTGAAAAGCCTACTGCGTTAGCTGAAAAAATGTATTTCTGTTCAATTCCGACAAAATGAGCCGTTTTTGAGAAATACAAATCTAAAACTCAAACAAGTGATCTAAATATGTATATCCTGGTGCTTCTCCGCCCCTAACTATGAATCTGTTAGCACGATTACTGTATTGACAAAATGGCGTGACCCGCATTCTGGATGTCATGTCAACATTAATAGAACTTTACCTAAAACTCATACAACTGTTTTTTTTTGCCAAAAGCGGTCTATTTCATCAACATCGAACACTTTTTTGAAGGAGAACTTATGGCATTATCTTTTTGTGTTCTATATGTATACCAGATATTGTCATATTTTGGGACACCCTGTACACATTCTTATGACCTCAGATTATTATAAACCTTACAGCCATTTTTGATAGCGACGAATATGAGAACCTCTCAAGACAGTTCAACGAACAGGTTGCATTCTATCATGTGAAGACTTTACAAAGTTAATGAGTAATTCTTACAGGTGAGCTAATTTTAAAAAATAAAATCTAATCCATCCTAGATGTTTTTCAAATTTTCAAACAATTATTTTTCACATGATGTAGAAGGTGGACTTACTAATTCTATCATGACGTTTCCTAGCACTTTGATATTCTGATAAAAACAATAGTGAGGACCTCTTCAATCATCTTCAATGGAAAATACCATACAACATTTGTTTCAGAAAATGATGAGGGAGGTCGAAGAAGTAGATACTTCTGAGACATCTTTGGGCAATGTCCTTTTTATCTGAATATCAATACTTATTATGATAAACCTTACAACCATTTCAGATAGCGACGAATAGGGGTATATAACTTTGGTGACAGTTCAATAAATAGTTCGCACTCTATCATGTGAAGACTTTACATTACTTAAGTTAATGAGTATAACAAAAGGAAGCAGCCGCGCAGGCAGAAGCCTAAATGCTGGGACACCGCTGCTGCTATGATGATCCCAAAGAAATTTTGTTAATCCGATTTTTGAACTGCCTAAGCTTAGTAGAACTGGAAAAGGCTTCCTCTTGTTGATTATTCTACAATCTCGACACCCTCGGGACAAAGGAGCGATCATATTGGCCAGTTGGTGTATGAAGCTCGACACAGTTAGGATGGGAGGCCAAAGTCAGACGGGTCTCTCTGGCAAGCACATCGCGCGCCGGCGGTGGATAAGAGCTCTGAGGAGCAACGCCCGTTGGTGCAGCGGGGCGGCAACACGGGGTGAACCAACCTACGCCAACGGTTTCCAAGATCGTTGTTGGCGTTCGATTGCGTTCGCTCCTTGATCGGTACATCAAGGGGAGGTTTGATTTGGTCTGAACAGGATTTGTTGCGCTTCTAGTATTTAGTCTTTTGTCTGCATTAGATAAGAGGAGACTCGACGCTCGACATTAGCACCGAACTTAACCCAACACCACCCAACTCGAAACTAAATTTAGGTGTAGTCGAGCGCATTCCAATACCTTCCAACAACAAATGCCAACGTCACATCATTATTAAGGGAATTGAATGACCTTTAAAATAAGGTACCACTCGACCCCCTTTCCATTTAAGATTTTAGGGTTGGTGTCAACCCCCCCCCCCCCCACAGGGGGCTGCACGTGTTAACGTGATTTTTTGCCGAACTTGTGTCCCCCTCGAAAACAAAATCGACGCGTCTGAGCGTTTTTCCAAAAAAAACTGAGCTGACGGTAAATGTGTCTGTTTAGTAGCTAATATTAATATAGGTAGAAAAAATAGTTTTATTGGATATCGAAAAATATTTGATGATTCTTATTTTTGTCGTCAATATCTTCATTACCTTCGTCACTACTATCGATGTCAATAACGCCTTTTCTGTCAGTTTCTGTAACAATTTTACCTGCCAAAATAACCACCATCCAAACTTCGTAGTCGCTGATTGTTTTTACATCTGTTGGGGACATGCGCAGAGAAGGTTTCAGGTTTTATGAAATAGCGAAGGTCTGGCCGTCGCGGGCTCTTATTTTATGAGATTACAGTCTCCGAATTGACAAATCATTTGCTTCTATGAAAATTTTCCATGTTCGATCTTATCCATTGAAACTTCGATTCCTGTCATGAATTGCAACTTTTATACACCAGAATGTGAGATATACAGTAAGGTAGATAAGAGAAAATGTCGAAAAGGTCTATATCTTTGAAAATTCTCCATCCCTGCGCACAGTTGTACCGAATTTTGGACACGGGATGGTCTGGCTTATACTTTTGACTTAAGTTGCACTTTCGGTGTCCGACAATTTGTGAGATACTGTCTCCGGAAAGGTATGTCTGTTGTAATGTTTTATCATTGTTATACAAGGAGAATGTTTTGGCTCGCCAATTTTGGTAAAAGCGTTGTATCTAGATGTATGACTTCATTTGCAACTTATTTAGTGACACAGTCTCCGAACTGAAAATCGTCAACATCGTCAGAAGAGAAGTTTCACCGACTTTAGGATGAACACAAGATGCAATTAGATGTACAATTCTGTCCACTGTGAACATTTGTGTGAGAAACTAACTGAAAATGGAAACAGCGTTAGAATCAAATAGACTGCTCTCAATTTGTTTGTCTGAAACGTGAAAAAAAGTTTGAACGATTTTTATTTTTTTTCGGCCTCTTCTTCTGCTGCCACTTGACCGATTTTCAAAAACTAGCGTTCTTGACAGTGTAGCAAAATTTTCCAAAAATTTCATTGAAGAATGAGCGGTACTTCTCAAGTTCGGTTATAAAACTAGCCGACAGACACTCCGACGGAAATGAACGAAATGGTTTTTCATGCTATACATGTCATACGACTATAATATCCAAAATACATAATACCTTATTCTAGGTTAGATTGATTTTTTCAAAGCGAACGGCAGATCGGCAGGGCTCACTGTGGGGGTCAAAGATTATTTTTTCCGTAAAAAAAAAATGATGAAGAACTAAAATGAAGATTTAATGAGAATGAGGAAAGGCAGTAAAGTGAGTGAAAGAAATGTAAAGCAGAGCGACCTTTTTGAAAAGCACTGTGTAATCGACCTTCCCGTAGTAAGTACATTTACAGTCTACAATGTTTTAACATTGACATTCTATTGAAATGGTATCCAAATATGACATATTATTAGTGCTTCGATCATATTCTGGAAATATGTAAACTTGCCCAGATAGATCGGAGCTTTTTGCAGTGTTTCTTTGCAAGTGGTATGTTTTCAAGATTGATATTAATTTTAAATATGAAAACTAATGTAGTGAGCGCATCTTACGTATCTTGCCTAGAAAAGAGTCGATTGGGCTCTGCAAAGTGAATGGGCGATTGACATCAAGAGCAAATAAGCGATAATAGGTATAAAATTGACAATAGCCTTTTTATCTAACAAAAATACAAATACTGCACGTTTTAGGTTGACAAAGAAATCCAGAGACGGAAACAACGAAATAAGGAATAAAACTGGAAATATGATGAATTGTTCTGTATCATAGGTAACATATATTTTGATATTTTGAACAAGAATTTTTGTAGATATTCTTACTCAGTGAAGGTTTTGCCAAATTATGAAATTGAGATATTCTTTCTTTTTATGTTATATGACATGTACATAATTAAGAACCATGTTACCCATTTCCGTCGGTTTGTCTGTTTTTCCGCTAATCATTATCCCCTGTATAACTCAAGAAGCACCTGTCGGATTTTGATGAAGTTTTGTCACAACCTTACTGCTAAAATAATAAAAATCGTTCGTTTCAGTGTCTACTACTCATTTTCATAAAAACGTTTTGAGCGGGTTATTGTAAGAGGTGAAGCATATTATAAACCATATTCGTCATCGTGTACGGATACTTATGAGCCGCCTGTGGATGCATGAGTATTCAACACGATATAAGTCTTTGAGCTCCTTATACCGCCAAGGGGTACAAGCTTTGCCAAGGACATCACTCTTTAAAAAATCATCTATTGTACCATTTCCAAGAATTCAGGTAACTAAAAGAGATAGCTGTTGAATACGATAAATAGAAATACAAATATAGATCGTCTATGGGAATCTAACGGAGAGTTCATATAAGCTCTAGCTTCAGAAGATTGACTCAATAATTGTTGAAAAGTTGAATCAACCAGTTTGGGAACTATGCTAGGTAAGCACATTTGAAAAAATTGATCTGCTAAAATTTTGGTTATTCGCAAACATGATAAATGTTTGAGATGATGTAGAAACTAAAAACTGGCGTTACTGGAAATCGGTTTTTCTTGGGTACCTTTTGAACGACACTGTATAATTAATCGAAATTCTGTCAACAACTGGTGTTTGATTTGGTGGTGTACACGGAAAACCATTGACTCACTTATAACGTTAGGGGCGCACTAGCTCCAGCGCAATATTGCTAACATTTTTTATTTGAAAAAAACGATATCCAGTAGCATTTACGGCTCTGTATCTCCCTAATAATGAATTTGTGGCATTCTCTTTTTGTGATCTATTTGTATAGGAGAAACTGACATATTCTGATACTACCCGGCATACACATTTTGATGACATCAGATTATTATAAACCTTACAAATATTTTAGATCTTGACGAATAGGGGTATAAATATTTTTCTGACCGTTCAACGTATATTTTGCACTCTATCATATGAATACTTTACATCACCTGAGTTAATGAGTATGGCAATAATTACAGTCGAGCTACTTTTTAAAAATAAAATCTTTTTCATCTTAGATGTTTTTGAAAATTTCAAACATTCACTTTTACATGGTGTAGAACACTTAGGCCCGTATCGTCAGTCGTCCCTACAATTGTAGGGCGCTTTTATGGCCTCCTTGATTGTCATAGTTTTCTACTTCTCCGTGTCAGCACTCTATTTTGAGGTTATGTCACAAACATCTATTTGCATCAAATTGTGCTTGCTTTTGAGTAGTATCATGTTTTATCAGCCTGCAATTTCCTACAATTTAAAAAGTAAACATATGTTCACAATAGGAAAGCGCTGACGCTCTCACGGGACAAGTGTAATCTAGAAATTTTTGAAGGAGAGAAAGGAGTCTGACAATCAAGGAGGCCATAAACGCGCCCTACAATTGTAGGGACGACTGACGATACGGGCCTTACTTACTGATCCTATCATGACGTTTCCCTAGCAGTCTGATGTTTTGATAAAAACAATAATGAGGAGCTTTTAAATCATCTTTAATATAGAATACTATTCAACATTTCTTTCAGAACATGATGAGAGAGATCGAAGAACTAGCTGCTTTTAAGACATCTTTGGGCTATGTTCTATGATAATTGAATATCAATACATCAGACAACCAGTGTTTTAGTAACAGGACTGTATTTCAGGTAAGTTATGTACTGTTTGAAGGAGCTAGTCCCAAAAATATTTCACACAAAAATGTACACTGCCTAAAAATAGAATCTAATTTATCCTAGATGTTTTTCAAAATTTCAAACATTCATTCTTACATGATGTATAACGCTGACTTACTGATTCTATCATGACCTTTCCCTAGCAGTCTGATATCTTGGTAAAAATAATAATGAGGAGCTTTTCAATCATCTTTAATACAATATTACTATACAACGTTTGTTTCAGAAAATTATGAGAGTGATCGAAGAAGTAGATGCTTCTAAGACATATTTGGTCAATGCTGTATTATATCTGAATATCATTATTTTCATCAGACATCAGCTGTTTTAGTAGCAAAACTGCATTTCAGGTAAGTTATGTACTGTTTAAGGGAGCTGGTCTTAAAAATATTTCACATATGTAAAACAACGTTATTGAAATGATATTGTTACATTAGAAACGCATCTAAAGAATTATACTTTTTAAAAATAACATCTAATTCATCTTAGATGTTTTGCAAAATTTCAAACATTTATTATTTACTTGATGTGAAGCTGACTTACTGATTTTATCATGACGTTTTCCTAGCAGTCTGATATTTTGATATAAGTAATAATGAGGAGCTTTTCAACCATCTTTGATACAAAATACTATACAACGCTTGTGTGAAAATATCATCAGGAAGATCGAAGTAGTAGATGATTCTAAGGCATCTTTGGGCAATGTTCTATTATATCTCAGTGTCAACAGCTTGTTTTAGTAACAAAACTATATTTCGGGTATATAATGTACCGTTTGAGGAGCTAGTCCCTAAAACATTTAACGAACTTAAAACGTTTATGATGTTTCAGAGGCTCCTTATCTTTTAGGAAAAAAATTGTTGGCGAGCTCAATTTAAGTAAGCGGTTTAATAAATTTTAATTATTGCGTTTTGGTTTAATTAAACTAGTTTCCTAGATCTAAGTAAACTGATGTATAAATTGGAGTTTAATTAAACCAATAAATCTTATCAGCTATCACATGGTTAATTAAATTTTTAATTGACGTTATTAAAATTTTAATTGGTTTAATTAAATTCGGCATATCTGCCAATACAAATTATAATATTGCCGATACAAATCATACAGTTTGACTAATAATGATGATCTGATCATGGTTGATTAAGTACCAGGCACAAAACATAATATGGGATTTGACAACCAGTCAATTTTAACCCTTTCAGGACCGACGCGTCCACGAAAAAACATGCCTGCTGGACCAGAATTTTTGGATGGTCATATGACCCAGTGACGGCTATATCCGACGAAATCATTAAACAGTATAATTCTTTTTTTATTCTATTAAAGCATACTTAGAAACACAAACAGCAGTAAATAGAACTAAAGAAGGTCAATCAAAACTAAAATTGAAGCCCTAGAACTAATACCTAAAGACAAAAAAACAAAAATAAGAGCACATCGTATCAAAAAAACTCGAAAGACATTTTACTTCAGAAGTGATTTTCTTCATGATATATTTTGAAGTATGGAGCTGGACACAACCCAACATCGCATTCCTTACACATATATTTGGTTTCTTTTCTTTCCTTAGGTTTTTGTTTGCTGTGGGAACATACATAGCATCTCCTGTAGGCCGATTTGCTGCCTTCCTTGACTGTAACCAGATCGGGAAAATGTCTTTGTGTGAGTCTTTTATTTCCAAGATCCAGGTGAACAGATCTCGAAGCTGTTTTTTGAAACCTGCAAAAATCGAAATATAGAACTATTTTTAGACAAAAAGAAATATATATATATATATAGGTACCTTTCCAACAACTGCCTAATCACTGCAAGTTGAAATGTGGCCACTGGAACTTTTGCTGGATTCTGTGTCAAATACATGGCATGAGCATTCAATAAGCATATATCCGTGGTATGAAAAAATAGTTTTTTATACCATTTCATGCTTTTGCGCGTTGAATCAATGCTGCTGATCATCATATCACTTCGGTCGACAGCTCCCATTTGCTTGTTATATTCCAAGACACATAATGGCTTCTGAAGGTTTTCATTTGTGACCCTATCCTTCCTTGGAAGACTGACCATTTTATTCTCATGTAGTGTAGTCAGCATAGTGACATCTCGCCGATCTTTCCATTTAACCACCAACATGTTTTCACTGCTTCTCCAATCACATTCACCCCTCTTAAGTTTTTTGTCTAAAATTGGCATTTCTTTCCTATTTTGTTTCACGGTCCCACATGAATTGGTTTTATTTTCAAATAGAAATGTTGACAAAGTTGGACTGGTATAAAAGTTGTCAGTAAAAAGAGAATGACCCTTGTTCATGTATGGTTGTAATAGATTACTGACAATTTCACCTGTAGCACCCAATCCACGAGTATCTTCTTGTGTGCCTTTGCCTACGTACACTATAAAATCCAAGACGATGCCAGTCTCACAATCACACAAGACATACAGTTTAATTCCGAACCTATGTCTTTTTGTTTTGATGTATTGACGAAAACTGAGGCGACCTTTGAAAAGGACCATACTTTCGTCAATAACCAAATGTTCGAAAGGATAAAACTGGGATTTGAAATTCTCTTTTAGAACGGTCAAAATATTTCCAAATTTCCCCAATCGATTGTGAGGCTTTACCTCCTCATTCTTAGCGAAATGAAGATAGCGATGTATCTCGCAATATCTGTTTATTGACATAGTCTGTTCAAAAACGGGAGTGCTGAGTAAGATATCTTGGGTCCAGTACTCTTTGATATTCAGTTTCTTTACACGTGTCATAAGCAGAGTTACAGCGAAAAATACGTAAAGTTCTGGAATGTCAACGCTTTTCCATTTAGGTGCACTCTTTGAATGGCATACCTATTTGTTTCGATGGCAATGACGTTCATAATATTTTCAGATAAAAGACTCAAAAAGAAATCTACTTCACTGCTTTGATCATTTAAACTAACATTTCTTAATCCGCTATTAGTACTATCAAATGCAAAAACTTGCGGAATAAACTCTTTGTCCGTCCATTTTATTTCTAACCTCGTACGATCTCTAATAATATCCATTCTCTCGTCCATTGCTGTCTCAGGTTCCAAGACCGGCGTTTGAGATGAATCATGCTTGTTGTCTTCACCTTCAGACACTTGCAAGTAGTCGTCCTCTGAAGATTCACCTTCCGAGCTGGGAATAAACTCGCTTCCACTGTCAGCAAAGGGATCTTCGGGCTCATCCTCATCGGAGCTCATAAGATATTGTGAAAGATTTCGGACTTCCTCCGGGGTCAGCCCACAATAGCCCACACCTGCATCTCTTTTACGCTTTTTCGTCCTTTTCGACCGTCAGATGTACTGGGTTCAGCGTTATCCATCTCGCACAATGAACAGAACAACACAAGAGTCAAACACAAACTAACTATGTCTACAATGTCCCAATAACAACACGAAACTGTTTCAAACCAGTCATAATAAGTAGATTTGCCTGCTCCACGTGTTCGACGCCGAACTCCCCCGAGCGTCCACCGTCGCCCATGTTCGACAGTGTCGGATTCTCAAGCCATTGGTCTGTGGGGAAATGCAGTGCTGAGCGGATTTAGCCGACACTGGTCCCTGTGAGAAGTTTAATTTTTAAAGGTGTCGTAAATGATCGACATTGGTTTTACCAGTTTGATTCACCCCTGTCTTATATAGCCGACACTGGACCTAGGGACAAGTTTCTTCCTGTCGGAACTTGCCGTCAGCGGTACCGAAAGGGTTAAAGAAAATTCATATATTGATAGATCATGTTGTGCTGGTCAAATGTCCCTATGAATAAATTTTGAATACAAATAGTATAACAACTGTTTCAGAAAAAAATAAAGCAAACTGGAAAAATAGATGCTCAATTGCAAGACATCCCAGGCAAATATCAGTAAAGATGAAAGTAAATGAAGGAAAGACAAATGATTATTCAAAACAGAAATATCGTAAGCTTTAACTGATTTGTAAAGAAATTAAAAGATCATATTCGCAGCAAATAACACATTGTATTTGTAGTTAAATATTGTTGAATATTGTAATTAGTAATAAGAACATTTAGAATATTGTTATTCTCGATGCCAGTGTTTTTGAAGCACTGTTTAGAGAATGTTATTATATTTTGTAATATTCTGTTTTTGTAATAAATTGTTTTCAAAAAAAAAGTAACTGTCTAAGTATGTTGTTTATGAAGCAGGTCCAAATGATGTAGAAAATAGAAAAACTGATCCTGCGATAACAGTTTGCCACCACTCACGCTGATGGAATAGTTTAAAGCCAACATTTCGCATTTTTCAATCTAGTGGAAAGAAAGTGTCACTGACCGCTTCTGATAAAAAGAAACAACGGGTGTACTAAAAAGACTGAGGATTAGTTGTAAAATGGACAATATTATGTTACATCTAAATATCAATGCGTAGAGATGAGAATGGGAACCTTTTTGCTTCCTAGCAACTTCCAAGACAACTGCTGTATCGACATAACAATAGTTTTGGTGAGTCAACTGTGAGAGATATACTATTAATCATAGTGGATTATAGCTGGGATTCATGAAAATATTTCACACAATTTGAAAAGAATTCGTTTTTACGTAAAAAATAAATTATCGGTTTCGTAATTTACGCTACCGGTGTATATAGGGAACGAGTCTTTGTCATTATAGCGCCCTTATGGGTTCTAGCGTCAAACTTACATTGGATTTGGAATCGAAGCATCTAATTTACTGAAGAATTGGCGCTTCGGATCACAGAGAATCAGGTGTTTTTTGTTTATGATCTATTCAGAGGAAACGCGTACTCACTGATCGAAAGTTATTTGTCAAATCGCCCACAATCTGTGCAGATATCAGGATCATTTAGTAAAGAAATGTATATTAAGTGTGGTGTCCCACAAGGAACTGTCTTAGGTCCGCTGTTATTCAATATATATTTAAATGATATTTTCCAAATTAATTGTGTTGGCAAAATAACTAGTTTTGTAGATGTTACTGGAATATTATATGAAGGCACTGACTGGTCTGATCTGAAAAATGTAATTGAAAATGATTTTATCAAAATTATTCGGTGGTTTAACAGTAGAAAATTAAGCATTAACTACTCTAAAACACATTTTTTACCATTTGGATCTTATGCTAGACATCTGCCAAATTAAACAAATTTCTCCTTCAATATTAATGATCAAAAAATGCAAATTAATAGAGTGCCCAACATAAAATACCTTGAAGTGGTCTTGGATCCTCACTTACCATGGGACATCCATGTCAATTATATTTTAAAGAAAGTTAGATTTGTATCCTAGAAAATTAAATACCTTGGGAATATATTGACAGAAAAATATCTTCAAACATTATACCATGCACTGATTGAGCCTCATCTCACATATGGTATATTAGCATGGGGAGCTGCATGTTCCTCACATATCTATAATTTAGATATTTTTCAAAAAAGTATTCTAAAAATGATATTTAAAAAACCGAAACTTTATTCCACTGAAAAATTATATGCAGATGTTCGAATGTATGATATAAGACAGCTTTATTTCTTACACAGTATCACTCACTACCATAAATTTGTAAACACCGACCAAAAAATTAAACATAATCATTATACCAGGTACAAAATTCGTGGCACAGTAGTTCCTCAACCGCATAAATCTATAATGCAGCGATCATATCTATATTTAGCGCCTAAATTTTATGAAATTATACCTAAAGACTTAAAAGATTTACGTTTCGGAAATTGTTTCAAAAGAAATTTAAAAAAGTGGCTACATTCTATATCTAGGACTGAAATTCATAAACTCATAAATACGAACATCAACTAAATACATAATCTACTGTAGCTAATTTTTGTCCTTTTTTGTCATTTGCATTCTACAGTTTCAACTTAAATTATTGGTCCATGTACAGGCGATGCCTTCTATTGGGCCTGTTTTGATTTTACATTTATTTACTCATATTGTTTGTTATCTTTGTACATTGAGTAAATAAATATTATTATTATTATTATTATTATTGAACTCTCCACCCAACATACGGACACTTTATGTTGTCATACAATGACGTATAAAATGGGTCGCTTGGGACTGTCCCGTGGCTCCTAAGATCAAAGTTTTGTAAAGATGCATCTCATCAGCATGTTACGGAATTCTATGTTGAAAACACGGAAAATGTCCTAATGATTACTGATACACCGTTCTGACTAAACATTTTTATATATAATTGCTTATTCAAGAGTTTTGGCCACGTAATATGACATTAACAATCTGTTCCAAGAACGAATCCAAGGAACCTTACCGCCAGAAAGACGGAGAAAGATACATAAAAAGGTAGAGTCTATAAAAAATGATAATGCATGAAAAATTAGCACCAGAAAATGTAAGACAAAACGATATACGTCTAGGGAATATTCAGTCAATCTCCTAAACCACATTTTTTTTAATTTACCACCATTCAGACAGTCTCCGGGCACATGATGGTCGATAATAGAACATTAAGAAAATGGCATCAATCAGATTGACTCTATACTTCCATGCCTTCGTTGGAGGTTCCAAACATACACTGAATCGTCGACCTCTGCATATCAAACTACTTAAAGCAAATCTATCATATTTCTGTTTCCACTGTAGATGTAGGGAAAATATGTGTGACTTATTATGTCTAATAGGTACCTAGTATCACTGGGATCAGCATTACATTCATGATAAGTATTAGTATTCGTTAGAAGGTTGTTATATATTTTAACGTAAGTGACACATTTTAAAATTATGCAATACACGCTGAGAATTTCCTTGCCCGTAAAAACTTCTCTACAGGAATCGTGAGGTTTCATTCCAAACATTAATCTGATAATTCGCTTTTGGGCTCCGCTAATATTGTAAGATAAGTGTCCATATGCTAATGCTTAATAGACTTCCACTAATCCTTTTTCGTTCAAAAAATCTTTCATTTGTAGAAAACATGATACGATTTACTTAAACTTATGCAACATGATCAATATTTACACAAAAATTTAGCCTACTGACGGAGTAAGTATCGAGAAGTTTGCAGGAAGCAGTTAAAGGTCATACATATCTAGTTCAATACTAATAGTACGTTGGATATTACTGTACCGTACCTTGACTAAGAAGGAGCGCACTATAGCGCCCATCCGGCTTCGATTAATAATTGCTTTTTTCCAAAGGGCCATTCATTCGATACGTATTTGCCAAAGTAACGTAAGTCACCAAAAACGATTTCGGAGAAAAAACGTGTTTTTAATTTAACCTGGTTAAACTTTTTTAAATTGTCCAAAATTTTCTCTGAGGTCTATATTTAATTAAGAAAAATGATTTTTGAAGTTTTTCTATAGTTTTAGTGGTTAATTGATACTTACGTTACTTTACGGGTTCAGAAATCTCGAAGTCTTGATCAAACATGTAACGTAAGTACACAGATACGTCAGTTTCGCGGCAAATTGTAGCACTTAAAGTATTTTGGAAATAATTAAAAACTATCGTTTATTATTAAAAAAAAACACAAAATAACGTTACAAAAGAAAATATGAAATTCTGACTAGTAAAAAATATATATTTTTTTAAGTTTTGGAGCTTTCATCTTCATTGTCATCCTCTGCATCAGTTTCTGCTAACTCATCTGGAAGTGAAGACATACATTTTAATTTAAAGAATTCATCGTGAAACCTGGCAGGTATGACATTGTTTTTGCAAAGTTTTTCCAAATCCCTTTTCTTCATTTCGGATATTGGAAGCAGTTGTTTATAAATTTTTTCAGGTTCAGAAACTGCCTTTTCTTGCCGCTTTCGACCTTAAACAAAGAAATACTTCAGGATAACTTGCAAATATGTATTCATTTTTTATATTTGTAGTTCATTAACAGTTTTTTGTATTTAATAAAGTCTTAATAACACGGGAATTCCCTATACAGGGTGTCACTAAATTAGTATTCAAAACTTCAACCACAAACAGAACAACAAATTTGCGAACATGGGTCCGGAAATGTTTCATTTCCGAGATACATTGTATTGAAAATACGTTAAGAAATCAGTTTTTTTTTATAATTCAGACAAAATGTTTTCGAAAATTTTTAAACTTGTCGTTTCTCTTATTTCGATTGATCTATTTCATTACGTCTTTATTTACTAAAGTGGGAATTATCTAGATCAAAAATATTGTCACTTGAAACAATGGATATCGGCATAGACCCGATTTCTTCCTCAGAATAAACATTATTCGATTAATCATTTTGGCTAAGAGCCGCCAAAATCCTTTTTGTTCGTGAACTGACCATAGACATAATCTGAAAGTAACCGAGCATTTATGTTTACAATGTTTCATAGCTTCTATAAAAATTAGAATAGAAACAAATACAACAGTCTTTCTCTAACTTCAACCGATTCATTCCTGTAAATTTCTCACAGGCTTCGAGGTTATGACAGAATAACCTCTAATAAATAAACGAAATTAAATATGAAATGGGAGTTTTATAGGTAGGTACATAATATTAACTACAAAAAAACGTTTTTTTTTAACTTCAACCGATTCATTCCTGCAAATTTCTCACAGGCTTTGAGGTTTTCACACAATCATTTGTAATAAATGAACGAAATTAAATATGAAATGGAATTTTATAGGTATGTACCTACATAATATTAGTTAAGATTGTAATATTTTTGAATTCTAACTATAAAAAAATGTCGTTATTATTTACTTACCTAAAATCAATAATTAGTCGATGGTAGAACGAACCTAACACTGTCGTAAGCCAAACACTGACTGCGAAAATCTGACGTAAGTCACAGAAACCGACCGGGACTTACGTTATTATGGCGGTAAAAAACGTTAGCTTGCTTTACTATGATGGAAATAGTGTTAAAGTTACGTTTCTTTTACGGATATGATTTAAAAAATTCTGGACATACGTTTTCAAAAAAAGTTAGAAACAAAGGTAAAATCTAGGCTTCCTACACTTTGGCAGTACCTTCTCAACAATAAAAGCCTTACGTTAATGGAAAAACATGATTTTCACCAAAAATGTCACTTACGTTACTTTGGCAAAAATGAATCGCATTTAGGCTGATCAGTCAGATCACCCAGGACTTGATCCGGCACGAACGCATCTCGTCAATAGCGGTAGCTGTTCCCCAAAAGCTCGGCTATTTGTCTAGGGCTCGGTACTTTTATCCATACAACCTTCTCACTTTATAGACCCTGATAAGACAGCCGCGAGTACTGCTCACATGTTCGGAGGGATACCACCCTGACTACATCCTCCTTGCTAGTGTTTAGAGGCTGTTCTATACAGGACAACATCACGACACTATCACACCGACGAGATGTCTGAGATCTAGGTCTCTTCTACCGCTATTTCATTGGGCTTGGCTCCATAAAGCTCTCACCCATGATGCTGCTGTGCGAAGCGCCTGCCAGACAGACTTGCCTGACTTCGGCATCTTATCCTATCCTGGCCTAACCACCCAAAAACCAACCAAATAACATTGGGTCATGGCCGCGAAAGCCTTTCGCATTTCATCTTCCTAATTATTGAGACAAAGTTTATGGATAAAGAGCGGGTGATACAGGAAATGAAAATGTATTGTAGGCATTTACTTGCAACCGATACGAGTATGGAAGCTGTTTCTAGATGGAACGCCCAAGAATTTCTTCAATTTATTATTAAATGGTACCTACTCTGCGCAACGATTGTACAGGTCAAATAGGTAAATGTCAGCTTTATTTTCTATGGTTCTGTTGCTTTTGCTACCGGCTACAGAAGGTGAGCAACTGAGGCTGCCGTCACAGGGCGCAGTGTCATGGGGGAGCAAAATTCCAATTAAATATGGATCCATGATCCATGATCCCCTCACTGGTCAAATTAAGACCGACCAGCCAGCGTCAACTGGGATCGGCCTTGGCTCCGACATTATCCATCCTACAGTATATTCAGATAAGAGATAGATCGGACATAAACAAGACCACGTGATCATCGAACGCTGTAACATTCGGCAGGGACGTATTAAGAGTCACGCAGTACATATTTTAGATAGTAGATGCTGCTTTACGTAACTTTGTAGTAAATTAGCACAATTCGATGTGTATACGATTTGTGATGGATATAGGATCATGTGGGGGTGGGGTAAGAAATATATAATGATGTAAATATACATAAGGGTTTCAAAATTTTCGCTTCGATTTCCAGCTTCGGATGCCGCCTGATGTTTGGTGAAATACAGTCGAATATAATCTCAAAATGGCGTTTAAATTAGCCTAAATTAAAAATAATCGTATATCTCTTAAAATTGCTTTTAGAATATTGATTAGTATATTTTTTGATTTCTAGGTAAATATGTAACCAAATTAAAATGTTCAAAACGTAAAAAAATGTGCATGGTTGAACATTGTCAGAAAGTAGATTCTTGAATAGGTTTTGCCAAAATGGGTTCAAAAATGTCAATAATTAATTAAAAAATACAGTAGCTTTATAATTACTTATAACTTACCGAATTTGATGAACGACATCTTTTATTGGAAAGATGAGCTTGATGAGCTTTCATCATCGCTACTGCCTGAAGCACCAACGTCAATAATGAATGGCTCGACTTGTTCCTCTAAAATATTGTCCAGTTCCCACATTCTCTTTTCAACTTTGTCTTTCACGTGCTTAATACAGTTTTCCCATTTTTGCGCTGTTATTAATTCTAGTGCTTCTTTGAAAAGTCCTTTGAGGTCACAAAATTTAAAAGTTGTATTGTGCTTAGCTATATAATTTTTAACCTCTGCCCATATGAGCTCAATGGGATTGAGCTCGCAATGGTATGGAGGTAAACGGAGCACAGTTTTATTTTGACTTGCTGCCATTTCGTCAATGGCGTATTTTTGATATTCCGCCTTGTGATCCTTGACAATTCTTAATAATTGTACTTTCAGCATTGCTTCTTCAAAGTTGATATTTTTCGAGCGGCGCCAATTTTGAACATCAACTTTCCTTGAAGCCGTTGTTGGGACCTTCTCCATTCTTCGAGAATGATAAGGCGCATTATCCAACACAATTACTGCGTTTTCCTCTAAGTTCGGTAAAATTTTTGAAAACCACTGTTCAAACGATTCGCCATTCATTTCCTCGTGGTAATCTCCAGTTTTCTTAGACTCAAAGCACCACAGAGCGTCAACAACAAATCCATCCTCACTGCCAATATGGCAGATAATGAGCCTTTTCCCTTTACCTGGAAATCGAAGTACTGACTGGTGTAGATTTATTTCAATAAGCGAACCTTTTTCAAATGTTTTCATCACATTCAGCAAAAAAACATTGAGACATGAGTATCAGATTGCTATAATTGGGATTATTTAGTCATATTGAAAGAAAGAATATTGAACGTCGTATGATTACTCAGCGCTTCACAATTTAATTTAAAGTTATAAACCTTTAAAAAATGAATGATCAGGAACCTGAAATACGCGCAAATATTAATATTAACAAATTATAACTTTATAAAGCTTAAAGTATGAATTAAAATGATTAGAAATATTAGGAACGGTACACAATATAAAACTTAGTAACTTTTTTTAAAGTTTATAATATTCGACATATTTAAAGATTATATTAAAAAATTATTGAAATATCGAAAACACATAAAAACATGGCTTAAAAAAGTTCTAGCAAATGAAAATGACAATAGAACATCCACGCATTTTATCGAAAGTTATAAAAGTTTTGTTACTTGTAATATGTTTTATCTGCCCCCTGGAATTAATGTTTAGAACCTTGTTCCCAAGGTTTGAAAAACATCCGATTGTTATCTATTACTCGTATTTACCTGCTGGATTTTTTAATCCGGTGGACAGTCCATCTAGAAAGGCCCTCCTGGATGAGGTTACAGAATCATCAACCCATATTTTACTTGTAGTGTGTCCTGCGTTTACCCACGTTTCATCAAGGTAATAAATCTTCCTGTTTTGATTTCTATATTTCCCAATTTTTATTAAATAATCCCTCCTCCATAGCACAATTTCTTCTCTATCCAGTAGTAAACTATTACGACCCCGTTTTTTCCATTTGAAATTTAAATGCTTCAGTAACGCATGGAAAGTTGATCGTTTGAAATTTGGCAACGTTGTATCTCCATTTACCTCCTGCAGTACTTTATCTATAGTAGGTATTTCATTCCTAAAGAAGAATTCATGCACTTTCCTCCTAATCGCATGCTTATCAGCTTCATCCAATGATTTAACAATACTTTTGCGATGTTTACTGGTCATTGGTTCAGAAAAGGTGTGATTTTTTTTGTATTGTCTTAACACATTAAACACTGATGCGCGACACACCCCAACTTTGTGAGAAACCTTCACAACAATTTCTTTGATGGTTGATGCCTCGTTCTCCTCGCGCTCGATCTTATATATATTCAAAATGACCTCTTTCACTTCTGCACTCAGGTGTCTTTTTTAGAGCGTTTCCTAGGTGGACTACAGGAGTTTACAACTTCATCGGCAGTATCTGTACTACTGGGCATTTTGCGCAAGCAGTTGATAACAATAACAATCAATAACAAGGTATAACAATAACAACGACAAACTCAACAACTTAATAAGATAACAAACGAAAACGTCCAAAGAAATATCAAATTGCAATGATGCACACGACATACGTAACACGTCAGATTCTGAATGTGACTCTGCCTTGATACGACTGCTCTGCCGCTCGGCATAGGCATTTAATTGCGAATTGACCAATGAGGGCTCCTGTTTTACGTCGAGACGGCGGCGTTAGCGTGAAAATCACCCGAACCTTTTGTTTACATCCGGTCTATCTCTTATCTGAATATACTGTACATATCAACGGCCTTTTTTCCTGTACAGGCAATGCGACCCATAGCTTTGCTGATGGCAGCATTCTACATGAAGGAATTTAGAGTGACAAGCCGATGTCTGTTGGTGACTTGGAGAAAAGAAGACTAGCAGCAACTTCCTGTCTGACGAAAATCCTAGAGGATATTACTGCTTGGGGACGAGACAATCTGGTACAGTTTGATGCTTCCAAAATACAGTACTGTACCTTGATGAACAAGAAGCGTCCTAGCGCTCATCCGGTTTCGATGGATGGGCGAGAACACGTCTCGTCATTAGCGACAGCTGCTAGGTAAAAGCTAGGCTATTTGCTTAGGGCTAAGAAGTACTTTTCTCTACATGACTTCCTCACTCTGTACAAGGCCCAGATAAGACCTAGCGCCGAGTACAGTTCACATATTAGGGGTGCTGCCACCCCGACTACATTTCACATGCTCGATGCTGTTTAGAGGAGGGCTGTTGGACTGATCGATCACTCTTCTCCAAGGGACAGTTTCGGGACGCTTTCGCGCCGGACGGCCGTCGGCGATCTATCGCGCTTCTACCGCTACACCAATAGGCTCTACTCCATAGAGCTACCTCCCGCGATGTCGCCGCGCGATGTGCCTGCCAGACAGACCCACCTGACTTCAGCCTCCCATCCTAACCGTGTCGAACTTCGTACATTCACAACTGTTCAACTAACCTTAAACAGTTAAAAAATCGGATTAACAAAGTTTTTTCAAGCTCTTCATAGCAGCCGCGGTGCACGGGCATTTAAGCTTTTGCGCGACTGCTTCGTTGTAAAAAAAACTTAATACTTAAACTTTCTAGGTTAACTGAAATCACCCAGGAAAATGCAGAGGTCTTAGATAATGGGGGTCAGATTGATATGGTCTATACGGATTTCTCAAAGGCCTTCGATAAGATTAGTCACCAAAGAATCAAAGGTAAGCTTCAGTAAGTTCGATTTATATTAGGATTGTCCTGTAAATGGTTTCCTTAACTGTTGGGCAATAAACGCTATTTATTTATATATTTATTTTATAGCTTTAGTTTTAGTAATCATTTATTAGATTTCATTTCATCTTACGTGCATGATAGATCTCAGTACGTTTCTTGCAATGGTTTCAAATCCTCACCTTACTCGGCCTCATCTGATGTACAGCAGGGATCAAATTTAGGCCCGCTTCTCTTTCTTTATTTTATCAATGAACTCCCTAACTGTTCAACCTGTCCTTCTCTGTTGTTTGCCAAAAATTTGAAAATATATGCTCGGATTAGCAGCATTGATCACTATCTCATCTTGCAAGCTGACCTGAATCATATATTTGAATGGTGCTCAACTAATAAATTATTTTTGAATGTTACTAAACGCAAGACATGTTCTTTGACCAGAAAAACCAATCCAATAGCTTTTGATTACACACTGGAAGGTGTCAGTTTGATGCGTTGTTCAAGAGTGAGGGACCTAGGTGTGTTTGATG